AAGGCAGGGTGGCTTTATGGGGGAAATGTGATTCTTAGAGATTTTTAAGATAAATTGAGGACAAGAGAACAAATTATTCAGTGAAAAAGAAAGAAAAAGCGCATTAGGCACAAAATTATTTTAATTTTCCTTAGTATTTATTTATAAAAATATTTATGTTTAATTATTTACTAACATAATGTTTGAGAAGAGATTGTCCTCTGTGTGTTCACAACCAATTTGTGATGCTCTAAGAACAATTCCTACTCTTTCCTGGCATATACTAATAAGATTTAAAAATACATAAATAGGCCAGAATTTAAAAGATATATTTTATTTGAGAAACTTCACAACACAAACAATATCATATTTTTGGTTAAAGAAAACTCTCTACATCTAGAACACAACACTTAGGAGTATATAAATGAGTAAAATCAAAGTTACATTTGCATGACATTATTTTATATTTTTAGTAATTTTTCTTTACTCTTGGCCTGTGTAATAAATTCCTTTTCAATATAAAGATATTTGTGAAAATAATCAGAAATTTGAAATTAAATTTTCTAATATTGTATATAGGGCTGAAGCAATTATTATTTTTAAATGGTGATAACTTGAAAGACAAAACTGTTACCATATTATTATGATCTGCACTTCACTCACTGATTGCTAATATGAAATTATCAATCCTATTTATTTTCTAATAATTATCAGATAATGCCAATACTGAGACTTTATGTTTATTTTGTATAATATTTATAAAGTGTATAGAGGTAAAATATACTGTTTTTTGATGCTTTTATTTATTATATGGACATTCCTATGAATTGATCAGTAACCTATATAAATTGTTTTATATTGGCAGTTTTGGTCATGAACACTTTATCCATGAAGAAGCGAGAACCAAATCATTTAATTTATTGAAGTATATTTGTGCATACATTACATATTCCATTTCTTATCCTTCTTTTAGAAACAGTTTAGCTGATTTTGACTATTTGTTTATTTTTAATTGACATATGTATTTATAGTATACTACCTGATGTTTCAACAAGTGCATAAATTGTGTCAAATTACTTGAAACACGTATCTCTTCAAACATTTGTTTTATTTTTTTGGTGAAAACATTCAAAATTCTTTCTTTTAGCTTATTTGAAAGATGCAATACATTATCTTCTATAGTCACTCTAAGTGAAATAGAACATCAGAACTTATTTCTCCTAACTTAGTACCCATTGACCAGCCTTTCCTCATTTAATTTTTTCCAGACCTTCCATATTCTCTGGAAATCATCACTCTACTCTCAAGTTGTAAGAGATCAACTTCTTAAATTTCCACATGTGGGTGAGATGATGCAGCATTTCTCTTTCTGTGCCAAGCCTATTTTACCTAACATAATAACCTTAAGTTTCATCTAGGTCATCACAAATAATAAGATTTCATTCTTTTATGGCTGAAGACTATTCCATGGTGTATACATGCCATATTTTCTTTATCCATTTATCTGTTGATCAATGCTGATTGACTCAATTTCTTGTCAATAGTTCCATTATGAATGCCACTCATGTGAATGGCAGTAAACATGGGAGTACATGTGACTCTTCAGCATACTAAATTTCTTTGGATAGATATATACCCAGTAATGAGCTTGCTGCATTATAATGGAATTCTATGTTTAATTAGCGGTACTAATTTACAATTCCACCAAGAGAATGTGAAGGATCCCTTATTCCACATTCTCATTTGCATTTATTATCTTTTGGATTTTTGATGATAGATGTACTGACTACTGTGAGGTGACATCTCATCATGGTTTTGATTTGAATTTCCCTGATGATTAGTGATGTTGACCATTTTTTTTACACCTGTTGGCCATTTGTATATCTTCTTTTAAGAAATGTCAGCTTAGGCCTAGTAAATATTTTTAATTATATTATTTGTGTTTCCTACTGAGTGGTTTGTATTCCTTATATATTATGTATATTAATCCCTTATGAGATATATAGTTTGCAAATATTTTCTCCCATCCTGGAAGTTGTCTCCTCACTCAATTTTTTCCTTTGGTCAAATGAAGGCTTTTAGTTTAATGCAAGTCTGTGAGTTTGTTTTTGCTTTTTCTACACTTTGGGGAGTCTTACCCACAAAATTCTTGCCCATTTCAGTGTCTTGAAAATTTGTTCCCAGTTTCTTTTATTAGTAAGTCTTTAATCCATTTTGAGTTGTTTTTTAAATTGGTGAGAGATAAAGGGTCAAGTTTAACTTTTCTATATATAGATATCTAGTTTTTGCAGCAATATTTATTAAAGAGACATTCTCCAATGTTTGTTCTTAGCACTATGTTGAAATTCAGTTGGCTGTGTATAAATGCATTTAATTCTAGAATGTCTATTCATTCTATTAGTTTATAGGTCTGTCTTTAGGATGTTACCACACTGTTTTGATTACTATATCTTTGTAATATGCTTTAAACACAGGTAATGCAATGCTTCTTGCTTTGTTCTGTGTGTTCAATATTGCTTTGGAAATTTGAGGAATTTTGTTGTTCTATTTTAGCTTTGAAATTGTTTTTAATATTGGTGAAGAATGTCACTGTTATTTTGATATGTATAATTGCATTAAATTTGTACATCACTTCAGGTAGTATAGAAATTTTAAAAAAACTTTAGACTGCTGTAATATCACTTTACTGACACTCATGCTCCTAAGCTTTCACACTATTAATTTCTTGCTTTGACATATTGGAAGGGAAAACATATATAATATCTAACCCTATATATATAATGTAATATATAATAACCTAACTATAATATATAATATATAATAAGCTATCTATAATATAATATAGTTATGTAACAGCCCTAGATATATAATATCTAAGTTAGGGTTAGGACTAGGATTAGGGTTAATTTGATTGATTTGAATAGTTCACTAAATTTCTTAGGAAAAAATTTAATCTATATGACAGGGACTGTACTTTTGGTCTTTTGAGCTTCTACACAAAGGTAATTGTTTGATTATTATCAGGGAAACAGAGTTTTCATTTAACATTTCTATACTTGATGTGCTCTTCTCTCAGCTCCATGAGGTGGGTCACTAGGTGGGTACCTGACAGCAAAACGACTGATCTGTCTTGCCTCCTTTCATCTAATCATCTTTGGTTATGGACTGGATTATTTCATTAGCATTTAAATATCTTTATGTTAACTATAAAGAAGATAAGTAATTACATATATAATTCAATAGAATATTATATTTTATTCAGTAAAAAATGTTGAATATATTTAATGTAGAGGTTAAGTTATGAGAGTATTGAAGTCAGTATCATTTGATTCTTGGAAGAAAATGACAAAAGTAAGAGTGGTAGCTATAAACTAATGCACTAAATTATTTTCATAATTGATATTACTATATTTGTTAGTCAATTGTGAAGTCTATTTCTTTCTAATATTGAGAGTGCAAAGTAACATTTTGAAAAATGATGTAAAAGAAACAATCCCTCCTCTCCCTTTGCTTTTTAAAGGAACCTAGCAGAATTGAATCTTCTAACCTTAGAATCTACTGACCTCTGAACTGCTTGGAAATAGCTTATTTTTAAGGAATATATTTTTATCCAAAAAAGAATGAGGACTTGTTTAAGACAAGACCAAATCCTTGAAGTCATTCCTAGTCTTATACATAAGTAGCAATAATCATATTTTAAATGGTTTAAAATTTCTATTATCTGTTAAATTATGAAATGCTACAGTAGAAGTAAATGTTCTAACAGAACAGCAAAAGCACTGGGGCCAATTATTTCTCTGCAGTTTTATTAAGATCATATTTTAAGACTATTTATATGCTTTTAAAATATTCACTGATATTTGAAATACAATATATTTTCCTTTTTAATTTTCAGTGAAAAGAAAGCAATACTTTTGAATCCCTGATTGTCCCTGCAATAAATCTGCTAATTATTGATTATGTTTCTTGTGATTTACTCATATGACAACTGCTTATTTTTTCAAGATCAGTTGAAAATTAGTTCTTAATGACAGGGATACTGCTTCTTGACATTTATTACTCCTCTTGAATTCTTACACCATTACTAAGCAATCCTTTTATCTTTCATAAAGACAAGGAGAATGAATAGTAATTTTAAACAACGGATTTTTTTTTCCACCTTCAACAATGAAAAGGTTTAATTGAATACAATGGATTATCTTCATTATCAACTAGAATAATATTCAAAACAGATTAAGTACATTAAGGGTTAAGGGAAGTTTTCTAATTTTTTTTAATCCTAAAATTAAATTCTAGGATATATTATGCTTCTGGATAGGTCAAATATTAATTGTATAACTATGTTGTTTTTCACTGTATTAAACACAAGAATAAAAAGTGTTCTTCTTATATTGATTTTTACCTTCTTTCCTAGAAATTCAGGTGAAATACTTGATAGGTAGTAAAATGTTTTAAACATTAAGAGTGGCTTTTTGTTTAGTCCTTTCTCCAGTAAGTAAATTCAGAACTGATTCTCTGCAATATGGAGTCCTATTGAGGGATTAAAAAGATGAGAAAGCAATGGAGGCTCAGTGGCAGCGTGCTTGCATAGCATTGTGTTTAGATGTGGACTCAATTCTAACACCACAAAAAATGGCAAAAAAAGATGACAATGTTTATTATTAGCCCTTAAAAAAGTTGTTTGTGATATAACAAATAGGTGAATTAAAGAAAAGCCATATGCAAAAAGACGCATATTACTGAAATAAATGGCTATACATAAATTAATAATAATTATAATTAAGCACAATAAATACTGCAATTATTAAAGAGGAAGGAAACAATATTGATCCACAGGGAGCACGTTAAAATATCTTTGAAGATGAGACTAAATTTCTCCTTTTAAACCTATGTGACTAATAAAATATATGAAAGGTGATAGGAATATGTATTAGAATTTCTGGTGGAACCATTTTTAAAATTTAGCAGGTTTAACATTTTTTTGAACACGTGTTATCTGAAGCAGTAAACAGAATAGTTACCTTTAAAATTAGGTCTGATTCTTGCATCATACCCGGATGTCCTTCCCATTAATTTATCCAGAAAGTCTGACGGTGACATCGGAGAACTTCGGGATCTTGCGCTATTTGTTTCCTTCGTGGCAACCAAACTACAAATGAGAACAAAAATGACAAACTTTATAAAAAGCAGTCTAACAACCGCTTCCTAAAAAAAATAAAACTAAAAGTTAAGCCACAATACCTTCAATGATGAAGAGAACTTGAAATACTCTACAGTTAACTTTATAATAATGAGACAGATACTTATGTGTTTATAGTCAAAATTTATAGTTTCACATCTATGCAGCCAGTTCTCTGAGGTGGCATTGTTTTGTGTTAAACCTAGAAACAAAGTGTACTCCAAAGTCAGTAGGCTGTCAAAATTTGTATTTACTCAAATTTTATATCTGTTTAAAGTTTTTAAAATATCAGTGTTTGAGGCATAAGAAAATATGAAAGTTGGGCTAGGGATGTAGCTCAGTGGCGCTGTGTCTGCTGTACAAGAGCAAGGTCCTGAGTTTGATCCTCGGTACTCAAAAAAATAAAATAAAAATCAGCTATGAAATATGTTTGTTGCTTTTTCTGAGGAAGGGGAAAATCACCTTTTAGGTTTTGTAAATGTTTCTCTGCAGTAATAAAGCATATATACAATGGATTAAACAGTTATATTCTTTTCTTTAAAGTGCTTTTTGTGTAAATAACACACCCCATTAAGTTCATTCTGCTTTCACTTATGTTCCACTTATCAAAAGTATATTTGGTTAAGATCTAAAATTTGTGCATCAAGCTTGACAAATTATTATACATGATCCTTGAGCACTTGGCTGTTATGCTATTAGAACCCGTGTCCCCAACAGGTAAAATGTTCCTGTATTCTTTACATTGCAGTTCTTTCCTTTTCATGCAGCCATTCCTTCTAGAAACCCATTCTGTGACCACACTGCTCTCCAGTTTCTCCTTTACCTGTGTTGGCGCACAAAAGGCCTAGACCTGCTAACTAAGATTTGATGATTCTCTTTATACACAAAGATTTGCTCAGGAATGGTAGGCTGTTTGTGAGTACACATCGTTTGAACCTCACATGTTCAAGTTGATGTTATTTCCTGAAGCTCATCAATTTTCACACTCTCCCAGCTCTGTCACTCAACTTGGTGTATTGCTAAACCTTAAATATTTTGGTCACCACGTGATCATAACACCATCAAATTATTAAACTTCTTACATTTCTCCTTCCAGTATTTTAGTGGTGAAAATGGACCTTCAATCATCAACATTAATTTGTCTACCCCACAAATATATGCAGTATAATTTTTAAATCCAGTCTCAGTGATAATGTAGGCATGATATTTTCAAAAGCACTATGTGTCACAACAACAGTGCCTATTAGCTAGTGGTTCTATCTACTTCAGGGTGCTATAAGACAATTATCTTCTCAATGACTCCCATTCGGTTTTTCTTGCTTTCTCCCCAAGCAAAAGCTTCTCCTCTCTCTTTTCTGATGGTTCCGCATTATTTTTTGACTTTCTATTTCTGATTATTATTGATTGCTTAGCCCAACTCCCAGTCATTGTGATTACTTAGCAGTTTTTTCTAATGCAAAATATTCTAATAATAAAGAAAAGAAAAATAGCCCTACCATCTTAGTGTCTCCAGTTTTCTCTCTGATGTTTTAAAAAAATCTTTTTTTTCCTTTAGTATAAAGGCATTGTTAGAGCTTTCTAAACCATTCCTTTTATTTTCTTTGCGAAATCTCTCCTTTCAGTTATCGGAAGATAAGCTTTTATTTTTCCTACAAAAGCACATACCAAGTTACTTATAATAATCTGCCCCTTTCCTTTAAAATAATAGGTGGCTATGTCTACTGAGCTGAAATCCTCACATTGTGCTCTGAATAGAGAAGTTGTCCAGCTGGGTCCTCCAGGCAACAAGAGGTATCCTTATAAGGGGGTAGGTGGAGCTGAACTCTACATAAGACGGGAAAGCAAGGCAGTGTGACAACAGAGGTGGAAATTAGAGTAACCAACCACAGAAATGTCTGCAGACTCCGGAAGTTAGAAGAGATAAGGAACAGATTCTCCCTTGGAGCCTTTGCAGAGTAAAGAATTACACCTTGTCGTTGAGCCTTGAGAACTGACTTGAGGCTTCTTACCTTCCAAACTGTTAGAAAATAAATGTGTGTTGTCTGTGGGAACATTTTTATAGCATTCACAGGAAAACAAATACTACCCTTCTCCTGAGTTTTCAATTTCCATTATTCCACTTTTCAACCTAAGAATTACTTTCTCATTTTTGCCATAATTTTTATCTTTGTTAATATTTTCTGTCTTTTGAGATTTTGTTGTACTTTCTTTTTAGTTCTCTGGACTTGATTTCCTTTACTTCTTTAAATATGTTTTAAGGATGCTTTTCTGTCTGTGCATGGGCTATGCATTTTTGTTTCTTCACATATCTCATAACTTTCATTAAAAACTGGATATCTTAAATGATATAATGTGGCAACTCTGGCAATTATATCTCCACTCTTCCTAGAGTTGTTGTTTGTTTTATACATTGAGTTTTCTAGACAAATTCTGTGAAGTCTGCATTGACTTGCACATGCAATCATAGAAATATCTTCTTGGTTGCATTGCACATCAACCAATAATTGGAAAGGGATTGTCTTTCTCAGTGTTCTAGGGGGATAATTCTAGTATTGCAGGGAGCTCTGTGTTCATGGTGTATGCTTCAACATTGAATCAGGCACTTAGCAATTTTCCTTTAGCTTTTACTTCTACTTTGACAAGGTCTAAAGTCCAATCAGAGTTGAGAGGTCCTTCTTAGGTCTTTACTGAGTCTGCAACTCTCCTGAGGCATTAGTCTCTTAGAGGTCTGTCACATCAAAATACCGACAATTGTGACTTAATAATAAAAATTAATTTTCTCTTGCTGCTGTACATTATAAGTCTAAGATTGGTTTGTCAGCAGAATTGGTGTCCTATGGGGACCTCTCTCCTTGGCTTATAGAAGCCTATCTTCTTTCCATTTCTTCACCTGGTCTTTCCTCTGTGTGTGTTTATTCTCATTTCCCCTTTTTGTAAAGTCAGCACTTACACTGAATTTAAGACCACTTATATGGCTTCATTGTACCCTATTTCCCTTATCTCTAAATAAAATCACATTTTGAGCTATTAGAGGTTAGGACTTCATCATATGAATAGGAGCCACACAATATAGTTCATAACACTGGACATGCTCACAGCTCTCTATATATTTGACTTCCTAGATACCTAGGATTATGTTGAGCTTTCCAAACCCCTTTAATGTGTAGTTCCATTGATTTTCCTTTTAATGTTTTTGGTTAGTCTGTTTTCACTGATACACACTACAATTGTTAAGAAATTTTCTCTAAGTGTTTTTGAGAGCTGCCTCCAAGAGAAAGGATTTTTACAGTGGATGAGCTCCAAGTTAAACTAAGTAAAAAAGCCTGCAAGAGAGTCCTTCCAGAGAAGCTCCAAGCAGTACACGTAATGACAGTTCCCTAAGAACGAAACTGCAAAAATCCAAGCTCCATTTTTCCACTTGTGGCAGCCAGGTTGCTGTTTTGTCTTGGAATTGAGCAATATTGGATTGCAATGTAACCATGAGCTGGAGAGGAGGAAAGAAGTAGAGTAAGTTATAAGGCCACAACTCCAGCATTCTTGCCAAGAGTCAGATATTTTTCTTGATTGAACCACTTCATGGATTGCCGCAAGTCTAAAGTTAATTGCCAGAAAAAAAGTAGATTTTTCTTAAATTTTGCCTGTTTTTTCACTGCATTTATGAAGAAAGAAAATTTGCACTATATTTATGGGGATTGTCCTCCAATATTGTCTCCCTAGACTTCTTTTCATATTTGTTTTATTACACTGTTGCTCTAAAGAAGCATGATCCTCACAGGAAATGATACTATTTACTCCCATGGAACAGCTACTTCTCATGATAGTATTTTGTAGGGTATTAAAGCTATATCCTTTTTCATAATCCTTTTTATATTCTTCTGACCTAAGTAATGTCAAGATTTGGCTATAACAAAAAAAGAATACAGAGACTACTTTTAAGATAGCTCAGGGCCAGGGATTTAGCTCAGTGGTTCCACTGCCTGCCTTGCAAGCGCAAGGACCAGAGTTCGATCCCCGGTACAAAAAAAAAAAAAAAAAATAGTCCAAGAATGAATATTTGAAATTTATTAGCTGACTGAATATTAGTGGATATCCTATGTTATTTTTATTCTGGCAGCAATAAAACAGTAATTTTCTTTCTCTCTCAAGGGAAAAAGAGAGAATATTTATATCAATATACCAAGTGTTGCTAATTCACCATTTCAAAATTTCACTACCCATTTTTTCACATATACTAAATAGTGTATAGCACAATAAAAAAAAAATCAAAAAGACCAAGAAGTAAATAGAATTGAGATTCCCATGGCTTATATAATTTGGACAAAACAAAAGTAATTTTATTTTTTAGGCAAATAAATGCTAAATTTTAGTAATAATTCTCTATATTCATAAATTATTATATTCCAAGAAGTTTTTGTCTGTTCCTAATAGTTTTTCTTGACTCATTTCTAAAACAAGTTACTTTTGTTATACTCTAACATCAATGGTAAGGTGGTCTGTGAAAACTAAAAAATCACATCTTCTTATCTCATGCTAAGGAATTGTATATACACTGAAGTGAGCTATTATTCCAGTGTGATGTTTGAATCAATATGAGGAATAAGATATTAAAAGTTTTGACTGATAGCTATAGTAGTAGCTATGAACTATAGCTCATTTTTGTATATTTTTCCTTAATTATTCTCTAAACTCAAGCATGATAGAAATTGGAATGACAATGGCATATGAACTTGTATTTTCTGCAGTATGCATCTATGTTGCTTCAAAACACCTGAAATTCTGGATATCTACAGTTTAAAAATATAGTTAAGTAACCAAGATATGAAAAGATGTTATTTTATTAATCTGATATGATTCTAGTGATGAATATTTCTGCATTTTTTGACACCGTGAAGATAAAGTAGCAATTATGTGTTGTCTTGTACCTGCTATATTCCATGTACATCAAAAATCTGAATAGAGACAAGATAATT